TAGGTTAGGACATTCGGTTCTCAGGTTATTAATTACTTCAAAGTTCATTATTTTAATACATTTATTTTTAATGAACAATTCTGTAATGTCTAATATACAGTGTTGTAAAGTATTTGAGTAAAAGTATTCAAATACTTTTTTCCATATTGAATACTATTTTATTGAATACCTACCTACTTTTTTTTTCTTTTAATTCTTAATTGACTTAATTTGTTTCTACTTATAATTATTCTTTTTAAATAAAAATACCATGCCGTCGTGGTTTTACTTTAACATTATAACACTGTAATATTATATATTTTACTACTTTATTTTAAGAGTATTTGATACAGAGAGTATTCAATACAGATGTGCAATGCGTCTGCAACGACTGCATTATTGGTACAAAAACAAAATGAAATAATAAATGTACCGAAAATAGTTAGTTTTAAGGAAAAGAAATTACAATCATAATAATATTATATTGTACGGGATTTCAATATAATGACGATAATTACATTTTATACTACCTATTTAAAAAACATAAGTCAGTTATCTAAAAATAAAAATATAATTTATCTTAATATTATAGTATTTAATTTTAATTTATTAATTTTTACTACAATTTGTGTTGACTTAATACAATATTGTGATGTATTTAAATCTTGACTATTTGTAATTGTATTGTATGAATATTGATTATGTATTTGTATATTTTGTAGTATTGTCAAATGTCATTTAAAGATTAAATTGTTCATTAAAAATTAGTGTATTTAGATTATCAAAGTATACCGGGGACCAAACGTCCTATGGCTAATAACTCTCAGGGACGAAACGGCCTATCTCAATAATTACCGGGGACGAAACGTCCGTGTACTGGTTTTTTTGACGCGGACGAAACGTCCGTTTACTACCTAACTGTGGTGTAATTAGGAATTAGGTTTGGGGGGAGGGGATTTACGTTTTTAGCAAACATGAATGGTCATTATCAATATTTAGATCAAAATGTTAGCATCTATCCCCCTAATGCCTCCCTAATTAAGCCCCTGTAGTACATAATACATTAATACCTACTGGCTACTAAGTGTCAGTTTTTCAAAACTTTATGGACCCAGACATCCAGTGGCCAGTACCACCCACCCACCAATTGTAAGTGGTGCAAATGCACCACTACCTTAAGTACGTTTTCGGCTCCACTGTACCTACCTATATATTATAGGTATCTATATTTAACCTTAACTATTAAGTTAAACGTATTGATTGATATAGATAGTTTTATGATTCATTGTACCTACCAATAAATAATAATCAATATTGTGGATAATATTTTAATTGTTAGGTACCTGTTTTTGTTTTATTTACAGTTGTAAAAGAACCGTATCCGGCCAGGTCTACTTATCAAGTGGCTAAATTACCATTGGTGGGATATTTCTATATCATATCTTACTTTCATAACTGCAGCATTTTAATAATTTTCAATTTAACTATATTTTTTGCAGGACGCGCTTGTGGAAATCGAAGTCATTGCTATCGTCGAGGAATGATTTAACACCATCAAATTATAAAAAACTATGAATACCTACTATTGGACTATTCTAATATAAAGCTATGTATTTTATGTCTAATGACTAATATTAATATAGATTATAGGTACAGTTTGAGACGTTCTATATTATATAATAATATACATTTTGTTCTAAAGCTAATATTGTAGTGACAATGTGACATGTAATAATTAATATGTAGGTGTAGCGTATATTTACCAATTATATGCAACCATTAAAAATGTTATAATAGGTACATAATAAAATTTATTGTCTTCATTTATTTTACATTGGGTACCTAGATATAAACGTATAACCAAATATTCCTAGCCCACTGTAATTGCACCAATCATAATGTAATAGAAATCATTTCGTCATGACAATCATAGGATGATCCTGTTGAGTGTCTGACAATCTCCTAGCAACTGGGTAGCTGATGTATGGGGTAGTATTAATTGGGGCTAGGGTTGACGTTTTTTGGTATACCAATTCCAATAATTCCCTTAATACTGGTACCTATCATAGGCGAAAATATTGCTTGGGATTTGAGGGGGGGGGGCTAAAGCTTTACTTTTATAATATTGAATAAACTTAAGAGGACGCTATACCCGCATGCGTTGTCTCCGTCTTACAAATGCACAACATAGCAAAAAACTGTTTTGCGCGGGAAAGAACCGAGAAGGCTACAATCATAACTAAGAAACGATATTTTCACCACATAAAAAGAAGAACTTTGGCTGTGCAACGTTGTTTTTATTTTTTGATATCATTTATATGGAAAAAGTTTTTCAAGTTTGAAAAACACAAACAATAACGGTTTTTTAAACAGTAAGAACTTTTTTCATATAAGTGATATCAAAAAAATAAAAACAACGTTGCACAGCCATAGTTCTCCTTTTTATGTGGTGAAAATTTCGTTTCTTAGTTATGACTGTAGCCTTCTCGGTTCTTTCCCGCGCAAAATAGTTTTTGATATGTTGTACATTTGTAAGACGGAGACAACACATGCGGGTATAGCGTCCTCTTAAAACAAAATGTAGGAAATGTTTGGGGGGCTATTGACATTTTTGGAGGGGGCTTAGCCCCTAAAACCCCCCTATTTGCGCCTATAGTACCTATCCAATTTCAATACCGTCAACCCTAGTCTATGGGTGTGAATTTATTTAATTATTTTTAACTTACTTTAAAACATATCTTCCTTAATCCTTAACATAAAGTTTTAATGAAGTTTACTAATGAATTCAATTTTGAAACTATTTTTAATTTTTACATTTTATCTTTTTTATGGAAATATTTTCATTTTTATTAGTTTTTTTCCAGAATACTTTTAATAATTTCTTTCAATTAAAACTTTTTATACACATTTTATGAATTATTGTTTTAAATATTAAAGCATTTTACACTTGATAGATTTTTGTATTTTTTTTGTTGATTAAAATTCTTTAATCTTTTCTACCTATTAGGTAGAAAAAGTACCTATACTTATATAGTGCATTTTATAGTTTTATACTGACTTCTTTGAAATTTTAGCAGCCCTAGTAATAATGAATAATTAATACATAATAGTTTAACATAATTAGGGTGTTAATATTTGATTTACATAAAGGGCATTATTATACAGGATTGAGATGTTTTTATAGTACTTTGATGATCCTGTATTCCTGTTAACTGATTAAATACTATTTAATTTATATTTCAATATTAATACATATAAATGTATAATAAACAATAGTATATACTATTATAATATTACTACCCAGTACCCAATATGTTGCTAGGTACCAGCCTAGCTACTTGATCAAGGTAGGTCAGTAGATCAATATTTTACCTTGGGTATATTATATTATATTGATTTGTTGATTTTGTTTTGGTAAACGGAAAAAATATCCCTGGTAACAATCACATGGAAAAAAAGTCTCCCTTTGCAGTATAATTAAAACAATATTTTCACTTTACTTGTTATTTTATTTATAAAATAAATTGGGTTGACAAATCTTATCTGCAGATAGTACATTACAATTTATTGACATAAGCTGTAGTTTGACAGCAGATAATGTTCTTACCGAAAAGTTTGATATAGGCTAATTCTCTCCAATATCAAAAATTAGTGAAACTAGTTAATGAAAATTCCCTATGTCATATGTTTGTAAGAACGTCCTCAACACTACTTTAAGACTACTAAAAAATTACCCACTTATTAAGTTGGTTATTAATGATGATTAAATAAATACTAAGTGTGAAAGCCAAATTATATACAATATTTTACAACCAAACATCATTTGCTTGATTGTTCACTCTTTGAGCCTAAACATGTGTTGAACCTTATTCATAAGTCATGTAAATGTTAAATATATCAATGTGAAACTGGATAATTTATAAGAAAGCATTAATCTAATATTGTGAGTACTAAAAATAAAATATAAATTATTATACTCCGGCCCACGAGAGAGTCTTACCGTTTTGCGCATGCACACTGACGGCGGAGACCGTTCCGAGGCCCCATTTCCCCCATTATTTCTGTGACCGCTATACACCATATAGCGTTGAGAGCTGCCGACCGGTACCGAACAGTTGTTGGCATGCCGAGTAGTGGGGAATGCGCTGAATCGGACGAATTTTCGTCGGGCGATGGTAATACTCTCTCGTGGGCCGGAGTATAGTATAAAATTATAAAAGGACCATAATATTTGTGATCATATTTATTATTTACACATATTTTTGATCATGTTTCATCAAATTTCATAGGTCTTAAATTACTGTACTTCAACTATGTATTTACAGTTGAATTAGGTATTTTGAAGTTCAAGGGGAAAGAAAACATGTTGAAATATTAAAAACCAATGAAGTATTATGGCGGTTGAAAGAGAATTTTGTATAATTAATATCGAAAATTTAGAGTAGACTGTAAATCCATTTTTTTTTAGATCAAATGATTTCTATAAAAAAGAATGTTTATAATATGACAACTAGTATATTATGTATAATTGAAGATATTTATTATAAAACCAACGTATTCTTAATATTATTATATTATAGGTAATTACTAATTACAATACAGATAATCATATAATGTACAAAATAGAAGTAACTTATTTATTTTAAGGTTCACAAACAAGAAGTCATTGATTAAAAACATTTTTTCAATGAGTAAATAACTAAAAGATTAAGATAATTAATATATTTTACATAAAGATAAATTGAATAAATTAACTAATTTTAAAAATGCATTAAAACAATGCAACTAAAACTCAAATAATTTTTGCTGAATTTTTATAATCCACTAACTACATGTATCAAAAATGCATACCTATTAGTTCAACGATTTAGTTGAAGTAATAAAAATGAAATCAATAATATCATATGTATAAAAATTATTGTTAAAAATTAAAATACATAAAATATTAGCAAAAACAGCACAAGGACAACAGAATGTGTTGTACAGTGATTATATGCTAACGATTTGATGGTGGAAGTTCTCTAATATTTCCGTGACATGCCACTCATTTTGTAACTGTCAAATCTACTATCACTGTAGTTTGTTGACATGTTTAATCCCATGTTTGGTATAACTTGATGGTTATTTCCATACAAGGTGTTACTACTCGAACTACGTCCACTTATTGACATAGATGATGGATTACTTGAAGTGCTGTTCCATCTGCTAAGACAAGTAATAATATTGTTTTATTTAAATTACTAATACAAATATTTAAGAAAAGTACAACATACTTATCCGGTGGTGGTTGAGGAGGACGTTGCCACACAGTTGTTTCAATTTCTCGACTATTATTACTATTTGACCAAGGATCTGGTCTAGAACTCATTACCATATTATTAGTTCCAGAGCTTGAACTAAGTGTGCCATAAGAACTCTTTACAGTGGCTGATGGCCAGGTATTACTTTCGCTACTGCGGGACATTCCTCCATAGGCTGAAATAAAAAGTGTCATTGTTATATAGAAATAAATAAGCAACCATTAATTAATTTAAAGACTCACAACTTTTATTTGATTCATATGGAGCATGAGCATGTCTATTACTACCACCACTGCTTGAATCTTTCTTACGAGATTCTTCTCTTCGATCTGACCGATCATCACGACTTCTGTAATGATGATCTGTTGCTGATGGAGCACCACCATATCTACTTCAGTGTAAAACAAACATTCAATAACAATAAATAATTTATTATATTTACATTTTTGTAAAAATACATAAAAAATTACATAAAAAATCTTTTATCGTTTAAATAATAATAATTGTTTCTTAACCTGTACAAACATAAACGAATACCAAAATAATTGTTTAGCTGTCAATAGTCGAATTTTAATATACGAAGTTCAAAAATACTATAAACATTACATACATTTATAGTAATATATAAAAGAACTTAGATTTAATAAAACAAGAAAAATGGAAAAAGATTTGTTAAAGTTGTAACATTGCCTGTACAAACCAAGATAATTATTATTGAAATATCTAGCTGTCAAATGGCTGAATTTTACTTTACAAAATTCTGATGAACTGTAATCATAACATATCACAGTAATGAAAATAAGAATTTTGAACATTACATACATTTATAGTAATATATAAAAGAACATAGATTTAATAAAACAAGAAAAATGGAAAAAGATTTGTTAAAGTTGTAACATTGCCTGTACAAACCAAGATAATTATTATTGAAATATCTAGCTGTCAAATGGCTGAATTTTACTTTACAAAATTCTGATGAACTGTAATCATAACATATCACAGTAATGAAAATAAGAATTTTGAAATAAATCTATTTTTTTAAGTTTATCTACAATAGTACACAAATATTACCTAATGTTCATCGTTGAGTCTTTGGGTCTTGATGCAGGTGGTGGAGGAGGGGGTGGTGACTGCCTCATCCGACGAGATTCTGAAGAATGCTGCTCATAGCGATGTCTAGATGATGTTATGTTAGGAGGCGGAGGTGCTTGGTTCATATAGTCAGAACTTGGTTGGATACGAGAGCTACGAATTGGTTCTTTTCTGTAAAGAAATAAATTGAAAATAAACAATAGTGATCAATTGAAACCATGTTAGAAAATTAAATATTTTTCCATTTAAAAAATGTGTACCTTTCTTCATATCGAGATGAATTTGATGAAGAATGTCTTTTACTAGGAAGTGGTGGAGATGGGGGCATAGCACGCTTTAGTATTGCTTGGCGTTTTGTTTCCTCTAACTTTTCTTGTGCTCTACGTAACTCTTCCTTTTCTCTTTGTAATCTTTCTCGTTCTAAACGTTGATTTTCACGCTCTAAACGCAATAGTTCAGATTTTTCCTTTTCAATTCGTTCACGCTCAATTCGAAGTTTTTGTCTTTCTCTAAATAAATAAATATAAAAAATTATAATAACATGGGCTTACATTTTTATTTTTGTATTTCAAATACTAACTTTTCTAGGCGAATTGCTTCTTCTTTTTGTTTTCTTTCAATTTCTAATTGACGTTCTTTTTCAATGCGTCTCTTACGTTCTTCTTCTCTTATCGCTCTCTCTTGTTCTTTTTGTTTTAGCCTTTCACGTTCAGTCTAATAAAATAAATGATACATCAAAAAGATTAAAAAGTTTTATTTATATCTATACTATATTCCAAATAAGATCAGGGCCCGACGGCCGAGTTGTGCGCCTAATACGCTGCTGTAGTGGAGACGGCGTCTGACTGTCGCGGAAAGAAAACTGGTCACCGCCGAAGCCTGATCTTATTTGGATTAGTCAGTGCTAGAATTGGAAATATAAAAGAAGGGGTGCTAAAGGACTTTATACAATTAGCGTTCCATTCCATTTCCTAAGATTTAAATCAACCTAACTGGTCCCACACCCCCCAAGTAGTATTAACAATACCAATCAAACAATTATTATAACTATACACAATGTATACTACAACAATAAATAAATATTATTAAATCAGGTACAAACATCTTTTTTTATTTTATTTTGAAAATACAAAATGTAATTGTTTACATTTTTAATATATTCCATAGTCCTACATATGAATGATTATTATCTTCATTATTTTGAAGCTTAAGACAGTTAACTTCATCGGTGGAGTACTCGTTTTATCTTTCTAGTGATAACATTGCGCACAGTTCCGGAATAACAAAGAACATGATTTTGACTATTCAAAAGCAGCGTACGATAGCACTTGAAATTGAATGCGACATTGCCAAATTGTTTGTAACAAATTTCAGTTATTTCGTAATTAATTTTTATATTTAAATACAGATACAAATTTATCCATTCAGGAAGGTTTTTAATACTTTTACTTAAATACTTATTGTTATAAAAAAAATATTGTTAAATATACGCAGTCTACAAAGTCATTAAAGTAAATTATTTTACTGTTATAAAAAAAAAAATATTCATTAAGAATGGTTAAATATTTGAATAGATAAATAAATTTAAAAGTAAATAATAGAAAAAAGTTAAAATTAGAAGGGGAGCTCTGTCCTCCCCAATTCGAGCAATGGGAGTAGTGCATATAAATAATATAATAATTGCTTACAAATTAAAATTTAGCTTACTTTCATTTTTGTCAAGTTTAAAATTTCTTGCTGCCTTCTTTTTTCCCTTTCTAAGCGTTCTCTTTCTCGTTCTAATTCTCTTAGCTTTTCTCGGTCACGTTCATTACTTTTACTTTTAATGCTTCTGTCTTTTTTTCGATCATCTCTTTCGATTACAATTTTAGAACGTTTAGATTCTAGGTTTTGATCTTTTGATACTACAAAAAACATATAAAAATATTATCTAGATTAAAAAACACAAAATTATGAAATTAAAAACTATGAATACCAACATGATCGCTTTAATATACATAAGTCTGGTTTTTTTACATCATTAATTGTAATTTCTGGTCTCTTTTCCCTTTTTTCTTCTCGCTTATCTTTTTTCTCTTCAGTTTTTTTAGTATTTTGTTCGGTTTCAGAATTTTCATTTACTTTGGAAGCATTAGAACTTTTTGCTGTGACTTGATAACCATTATCACGTTTAGCCTATTAATAACATATAATTCATAATTAAACTGTACTATCTAATCACAATAAAAATAAAAATAATACGAACTCGTTCAACACTAATAACACGACCATGAAGTTCAGTCTTATGTAAATTTTCAATACTACGATTAGCATCTTCTGCTGAAGATAATGTAACGAACCCATAACAACGAGCACCAGGAGTTTTGGCATTTGTCACGACTTTGGCGCCAACAACCTATGAATGTTATTATTATTATTAAATAAAATACTAAATAATTAACAAATGAACATCCGAAAAAACAATGAATAATCTATTTTTTTTTATTGTATAAAATATAAAGAAAATCAAAGATATAAAATAAATTGATCAGAAGACATGCAGTTAATAAAGCCAGGAAATGCTATCAAAACTTAATTATTTATTATTAAATGATATATTTTTCATGACTTATAGAGGGATGATTACATTTTAGATATCTAGTAAGTAATATTTGGTCACAAACCACTTATTAAGTTAATTTGTTATAATTTATGGTAATAGTATACTGAATAAATAAATTGAAACAAATCAATTGAGTTATCTCAGAGTGCAGTTCGCAGATTATAAACATGCAACCTTTTAATTATAATGTTACATCCGGTCACAAACTAATTGTTTAGTAGAGTATCAATCAGAGAACAATGGATGGTATTGGTATAGCGAACATAGAAATAGAAACAAATCAATATGAGTTATCTCAGAGTGCAGTTCGCAGATTATAAACATGCAACCTTTTAATTATAATGTTACATCCGGTCACAAACTAATTGTTTAGTAGAGTATCAATCAGAGAACAATGGATGGTATTGGTATAGCGAACATAGAAATAGAAACAAATCAATATGAGTTATCTCAGAGTGCAGTTCGCAGATTATAAATATGCAACCTTTTAAGTATAATGTTACATCCGGTCACAAACTAATTGTTTAGTAGAGTATCAATCAGAGAACAATGGATGGTATTGGTATAGCGAACATAGAAATAGAAACAAATCAATATGAGTTATCTCAGAGTGCAGTTCGCAGATTATAAACATGCAACCTTTTAATCATAATGTTACATCCGGTTACAAACTAATTGTTTAGTAGAGTATCAATCAGAGAACAATGGATGGTATTGGTATAGCGAACATAGAAATAGAAACAAATCAATATGAGTTATCTCAGAGTGCAGTTCGCAGATTATAAACATGCAACCTTTTAATCATAATGTTACATCCGGTTACAAACTAATTGTTTAGTAGAGTATCAATCAGAGAACAATGGATGGTATTGGTATAGCGAACATAGAAATAGAAACAAATCAATATGAGTTATCTCAGAGTGCAGTTCGCAGATTATAAATATGCAACCTTTTAAGTATACTGTTACATCCGGTCACAAACTAATTGTTTAGTAGAGTATCAATCAGAGAACAATGGATGGTATTGGTATAGCGAACATAGAAATAGAAACAAATCAATATGAGTTATCTCAGAGTGCAGTTCGCAGATTATAAACATGCAACCTTTTAACTATAATGTTACATCTGGTTACAAACTAATTGTTTAGTAGAGTATCAATCATAAGATAATTACGGGTGGTATAGGAATACCAAACACATAAATTTAAAATAATCAATATGATTAATTTTAGTGGTATATCTTAACGCTGTGTCCTACGTAAATATGGCAAGTCCGACGATTTAAATTCTGATTATGCTGTTACTTGCAATAAGATGCGACAAAATACAAACTGTTTGTATTTTTTCATATTTGTCAGATTGACGTAGTACACAACGTAAGGTGTATAGCATACATGATGATGATAGATACAATTTTTATAAATATAATATGTAATGTTATACATACATGTATTTGTAAATTTTTAATAACAATGAGAAGACATAATATTATAGTTGTTATTTTAAATATTAGTAGTATTACCTTTCCATATTTTGAAAAAAGTTGTTTTAAATCAGTCGCCTTAGTAATTGATGCCAAACCACTGACCCAAATGTTGCGAACCAAGGATGAATTGTTTTTCTTTGCTAAAATATAAATTATAAAGTGAAATAAAGTCAATCATAATTGTTATTTTGTGGGACATTCAAGAATCAAAGTTTAAAAACATTAATAAATATTTCATTTTAAAAAAGAATCTTAGTATAGCTATGATTACACACATTTTTTTCTTATAAGATTTGCTGATTGTTTTCGTTTTTCAAATGAATATTTAATATAAACTAATTTTGTGTCTTTAACTTATATTAATATTTAAGTAAAATTACTTATAATTAAATTTAAATTTAAAGTTAAGAATATTATTCAGGCCACATTGTAAAATTGAATTGTTATTTGAATTTTAAAACAAGTTTTGAAGATTTTAAAGTTGTTATATTTCACATAGACATAGTTGTAATATAACATATAATTCACTTTAAAATTAAAATATTAATAAAAGTCAACAGATGCCCAGATATTACATTTAAGTTTGATAGTAAATTATATTGATTTGTCAATTCAATCTAATAGTATGACTAATAAACGCAGATTTGGGTGTTAACCTTATGAGGTGATAAGGAAATTATAAGGTAGAAATAATAAAATTGAATAAAATGAAAAAGAAAAAAATATTGTACAATCGCTCAAACTCTAAAAATAAATATTAATAATTAACTTACATGTCTCACTTGATATTTGCAGAACCTTTGAGTCATTACTGAAAATATGGAGATAACAATTAGTTTAATAAAATCTTAGCTTATATAAAATATTTTCATAATTTTGGATAGTATACAATTAAATACATTTCACACATATAATGAAAAATATTAAAATTATACTTGTTCCCGTGTCTTGACTTAAATAAAAAAAAATGTTATTAAAATATTATGTCAATTAAATAACCATAAACATATTTTATTAAATACCATACATTTATAATATTTTTATGGAGTCATCTTCAGTGGCGCAATTATTGGGAGTGTTGGGTGTGCAATTCATAGGTTAGGTTCCCGAGATCTCATATACAATTTCCCTACTATAATATTTTATTACACATATTATACTATTATTTGTTTTAAATATAATATCAGTAAATAGTTACGTCTTTAATCTTTTGAGTTTAGAGAATTGGAATTATAAGTGCCTATGCAAGAAACCTGTGTAATGTTAAGTATATATAACTAATAATTATTAACCATGACATGTGAGAAAACAATATATTTTATAGTTCCAATAGGGTAGGCATGACTGTTTTTCATTTTTATTGGTATGTAATCTAACCTTTACTATTAAGTTGCGCCACTGGTCAGCTTGGATTTAAATTTCTAATTATCTTCATAATATTACAATATTTATAATGTTACAATATTTAGTTTTGTTGAAAAAACTTTTCACAATAATTAACTTAGTGTTATGAGAAAGTAATCAAGACCAAAGTCACTTGAAAAATATTTTGGGAAAAGTATTATTATAATAAAATAATTTGCATAAATTTATGTCATGTAAAAAATACTTTTGATAATCTTCTTGATACAATAAATTATACATATTTTATGTGTACATTAATTACACATAATTATCAATTTTGTAATTTCTTCTTGGTGAAAAAGTTATTGAATATTGAAGACTTAACTGTCATCACAGTAGAAGACAAATTTATATTTCCTTATTTGTCATAGAATAATTTTAACTTTACTATTATTTGAAAATGTGTTAGTTCTTGCAATTTTGTATGTATTTCTGTACAGTATATTAATATGCAATTTTTTTAATAATACATTTCATCTTGAAATTGCACAATGACTATTACACATCTTTTGATACAAATGGTAAGTATTACAAGTACAATATCAGTTTTTAATGTCAACAACATTCATTACTTTAATGTTTTTATGGCATTCTTAATAGTAAATTTCAAATTCGATTATGAAATCATTTTTTTCTTATAGTTGACTTCAGTACACTATTATGCTTGATTATAATATCTTTATTTATTATTTTGATATCTTAATTTGTATTTGTAATTGACTTGACTTCAGTTAATGTCCATCCACATTTTTGAAATGTTCATCATTACTCTATTATCATTATTAATTTCAACAGCTAGAATTGGGAATATCAACTTATTATTGCTATATACTAATGCGGTAGTATTTTATTTTCAAATAATATGCAATACATATTATATATGTTCAAACATGAATGTACAAAGTCATATTTCACCATCCAATTTCCGTTCATAATTTTTAACTAGAAAGTCCAACCAAAAAGTAATAGACAATAACTATGTTTTTTCAAGTGACTTTATACCTATCACAATCAAAATTCTGTAAAATACAGTTTAATTTTTAATTTAATCCTCATCCTCTAATAAGTTTAGTACAAATATTATAATGTAAATATTAGTTATATATATAATTTATAATTCAAGTATCTGGATAATACTTTTATAAATAATACAAATCAATACTTTAACTAATATAAGTAGATAGTGGCAAAGAATTAGTAATTAAATAAAGTATTAAGTTATCAAAAAGGTTTTGTTTTAAATACAACTTAATGGCTTATAAACAATTTACTTGAATTTATAATTTTTAATTTAATAGTTTACAAAAGTAGACATCTATATTCCAGCAATTTAAATATTTGACATACAAATTCTAATCCTGAGAATAATTTATAATCAAAACTTAAATAATTGTATATATCTACAATACTGCTATCTAACAAATTTGGTTTCAGAATTGAAAATTAAAATACAACAAATAGTAGTAATACTGATTCTGGATTGTAGATAATAAACTTTCATTGAAACTTATACATCAGATTTACATACACAATAATTTAATTTATTTGATTTTAGAATTTACATGTCTATTAATAAATTGCCAGTTAAAAAATGAAGTTCTATAATGGTTATTTCAAAAAATTTATACCTACTTTAGATAACAAAAATTGAGAGTATAAAGAAAGTAGTCCAATTTTGAATACTCTGGCTGAAAATTTGATTACTTAATTTCTTTACATTCTCAATTTGTCTATTAATATTCAAGGAATCTTGTCGGTTTTTCTATCTCATTAGATAATAATTGTGTAAGCTCAATACATAAATATGTACAAATACATATTATATTAGTTGAAGAAGAATTAATACCTCTAATATTAATCATATTACTAGATTGACAACACAATAATTATTAAAATTGTGAAATTATTAGCAAATAAAATTAAACCAATTTAACTTGTATAATATGGCAAACCATTTTAAATAGTAAAACCTACATGCCGACTACTACATACATCAGTTGTATCTAAAATGTATCCATCTACTAAATACCACACAAAATATATGCAGCTGCAATTAAAAAAAACCTAACCTACTTCTATTAAAAACTGTTTTTGGTTATAGATTATCTCCATTAACATATTTTGCATGTAATTTGGTGTATTCTAATTAAATTTGTCCATATATAAAAAACATATATTAGTTTACAGTCACTAAAACTCTAAATGGGGTATTTATCCAAGCTTGGTTGTACTAAAAAAGATATAATAATAATGGTTTTTTTTATAATTTTTATAAGTCCAAATATCAGTCCTTGGCGCAATTTTCCGACGAAGGGATTAAGAATCAAGTTGTCGAGACTGTGTTCAAAACAAACCTCTGCTTATTGCCAGCTTCCACTTTATCTTTAACTTGTTTATCCTCTTCTTTCTTCTCATCTTTGGGCACACTGACACTGATGATGGGTTTTGCAATGCTGATGTCCTTGTCCTCTTTGTGGGTACTCCGTGGTTTATCCCCAACAGATGATCGCTTCTCAGTTGCACTGCGACGGCTTTTGACTAATCCAGTTGTTGCTCTACTGCTACTAGCAGTAACTGGATGGCGAGATTCACGCTGTTTGATCAATGTTTCTTCTTTGGTATGGTTCTCGGTCACTTCGTCTATATTGCGTCACACAAATTAAATATACATAAACACAAATTATCTATAAATGTACACAGTATATCTGTGGTATAGATAATAAACAGGTAGAGTATTAACCTTAACCTATGTTCAAATTAAGAATAACAAGTTTAAATTTGAAAACAATAATACAAAAACATGAAGGGTTAGTACTTGGATAAACTGTGCGACACTGCGACTAATATACACAAAATGGAAAAATTAATTTAAAACTGTAAAAATAAATCTCCTACATTTTCTGTACAATTTGGCCTATCTAAAAATTAATTATTTCTATTATGAATACCTATTAATTATGAACACTTTTATTTATTAAGGGAAAGATAATTATGAACATAGTATGTAAGAAAAAATGTAATATTAAAATATAATGATTATAATAGCATAAGTGCAAACTTCAACAATCGCAGGCAATTCTAATTCCTACTTTTCAAATGATATAAGTAACATAATATAATTGTTATAAAAAACTAATAAATAGTTAATAAAATACCATTCGAGAACAAATAATAATTAACTAGTCTAATTGACTATTTTTAAATTCATTATCCTTGAACATTGTTGAGGGTAGTAATTTGGTCAGCATGACAGAATAAAAGTATCTCAAACGTTTGAATGGATGAACTACTTCAGCTGATTATTTTATACATGCATAATGTAATATATAAAACCAATAAGACTCTACTAAAATTAATGTAGTTTTGAAGAACTTCTTGGGACCAAAATGTTTTATTTTGCTAAAATAATTTTCATATTTTATTAATCAAATAACTGGTATCAATAAGTGTTTATCTGCTATCTGGAAGGTTTACAATTTTTTATGTGTAGTTTTTAGAAAATATATTATTTTCATAAAAGATTATATACTTTGAAATGTCAAGCCCATACTACATTTCTGGATATTCAAATCCAACTTCTTTTTATTAGGAGTAGAAACTAATACTGGTATACATTTTAAAAAGGATTCTTCCCATAAGGTTTTGAGTCCATGTTTGTTCAAAATCTTCAAGTGTATGTGCATGCGTAAAACAGTATTATTTTTAATCTTTAGAAGCAATCAACAGAACTTGAGTAATAATATAAATAATAAATTGCTATAGTATTTCCATTTCTTCAGCTTTAGTTAACCATCTGTGTAAATTTGGTACAAAAAATATTTTGAGTAGGTATTAATTTTATATATGTTACCTATAAAAATAAAATATTTAGCATTAGCTATTTTTTGTACATAGTCTGTTGAGCTACTTAATTCTTGAACATCTTATGCTTCACTATACATAACTTAATAATTTGAAAATTTGACTCTATAAGTTATGTGATTTTAAGTAAATTTCAATTATTTGTATTTTTAGTAGCAGTCTAAACTCTAAATGATGATTTCTTCCTTTTTGTTGTTACTTATTTATGTACAGATATTGACATTGTTTTCCAGATTCATACTTTTGAGATCAGTACACATAAATTTAAGGTTATCCAACCACAGTTGGATGTAAAACTTAACATTTATTGGTTGCTTCCAGACTGGAATCAGAGTACTTACTTAACTATAAATCCAGTTATATTGGAAGTGGAGCGATATGTTTAAGTTTGATATCTTATAGTTTTACTTTTGCTATTCACTTAATTCACATGTTTATCGTTTTCTGTCCAATTGTTGGATGCCCACTAATATTTTTATTGAACTATAAATATTCCTTATTCAAAATAGATTGTTATTAGGGATGATGGTAGTCCAAATATTCCTAGCAGACACTTCATCATATTTGACGTATGAGTCTGCTAGATTTTGCATTATAAGATATGTACATTTCTAATGGTTCAATACAGAATTTTAAATTATTGTGTTCTGTCTTACAAAATTAAAGATTCCCTGTGTGTTAACTGTTAAGTAACATTTCTGTGTGAAATAGATATCAGTTCAAAGTGTTAAAAGTTTATTTTCATTGAATAATGATACTTTCCTTTGTCTTATGTAATTTCCAATTTAACCTGTTATGTACCTAATAAGAAAATATTTAAGTGCTGCCGCTCATTGTAAAGTTATACGAATAAATAAACTTCCAAACAAATAAATAAAATAACTAATTTGTCCATAAACATAAAAAGACCTCCAGTAAATGAATACAATTATTAATTAAATTAAAACATTGCCGATCCTACAACCAATTGTAATAAAAAAAAAATACATATTTATTAAGAACCTGTTTCCTAAATGTTTATCCTTAATGAAAATAATAAAATGGATACAAAAATAAACTTATATTAATTAATTGTAATAATTTCAAATTTCAAAATCAATAAACAAGTAATCAATATTTAATAAGATGTTATAACCAGTCTAGTTCATCTTGGCCATCGGCAACTGTCATGATTTCACAAAATCAAGGGTTTGAAAACTATAATATATTGAAAAATTATAGTAATTTTTAATGTAATACTTACTAAAATGTTAAATGTTCACATGAAATGATCTAAATTTTAAATTTTAAACATTGTTTATCCATTTTAAAAGATATTTATCATAATTTAATACATTAAATGTATTGGTTATTTTCATATTTTATTGTAGTGGCTTCACTACTTTGTAAATATACTTTGGTATGCCATTATCTGTGACACCAGCCGAGGGTCAAGATGAACTGGACAAGTTATATAATAAAAGATTCTATAATTTTGTATGACATACTCATAGTCATATCTATATTTTAACATAAATAACAATATTTTCTAATAGATTTTAAATATTATAGTAAAATTGTCAAACAGATGTTGAAAATAGCTGATTAACATCAAATTTCTACACTTAATTGTTTAGTACCCGTCTTTTAGTTTTCATTCAGAAAAAATCATACATTAAAATACGTCAAATTCATAAACCATTAGCATAGACAGATATAAAATTGTACATACTTGTTAAATATGTACATTATATTGTTTTACTTGATACTCCTAATTATAAGAAAACTAACAAACTCCCACATATTAAATTGTGCTAATATTAAGATTTTAGCATAACAGTAAAAATATTAATATTTTTTTATTGATAATCAATTTATAATTACCCTCTTTTTCAATGTTTGTATCTTCCTGAAAAAAAAAAAAAAACCAATTGTTGTTAATATACAAAAATAATATAATAGTTATACACTTATAAAATACTTTGGATGTTAGTATAGTTATGGCTATCTTGTTATACGCACTCTACCATACGATTACTACAATGATGGTACCTATTTAATGCAGATACTCAAAGGATAGTTTGTGGAGGACGTGAGGCTCAAAATTGTAAAAATGAAATATATTAGAACTCCTGGTATGCTTCCAAAGTATAATATTATATAATAATAAATATAATAAATTATTGCTGGTATCTTATTGAAACATAGTTGAGGGGAATCAATAAAAGATACAAGGACACATTTAAAGCATTTTTAAGACATGGCACAAAGATTTTAATATTTATTAATAATACATTTTTTATTTTTTTTATATTAAGTGATAAATGATAAATAATGAGACAATTACGGCACCTTTGAGATGACATAATATTTTTAATATTACATTAACAATTTACAATGATTTTTAATACCTAATAAACTACCAATTTATAAAAATGTTTATTATAGTATTATTCATTAAGTCATTAAAGTCTAAAACTACTTTTACATTATCCACTACTAACGACAATATAATATTGTTTAAATATTGCTATCGTCGCAAAAACAGTAAAGCACAAACTGCAGTCAAAATGTTGCCATTAGAATGTATAAGACACAACTAAATCATATTTACTCTTTATATAGAATCAGTATTTAAAGGACTTGGCTTAATCCACGATCACAAACTCCCATAACCGTTCAATAGAGGTAGGTGGAAACGTGGATATAACCCTAACCTAATCTTAGTGAGCGAAGCTAGTAGTATACAATGCTTCAAACTGATGTGCAAACCAATACCGAGTACAGAATATAAGCCTATCCAATGTGACATTTCAGCAGCTATCAGACCGAACTTCTTACCGTTCAGAAGAAGATTTAATTTAAAAGACTGGACAGCCTTTGCTAAAGAGTTAGACGAAACAATTGGTTGCCTTGTTCCTGTGTCAGACAACTATGATCAATTTGTCGAAATCGTAAAAACCGTGTCAAAGAAAACTATATCCAGAGGATGCCGAATATAACATTATACTAGGACTATCACCACAAGCAGTTGAACAAATTGATTGCTATATAGGAGAATACAACATAGACCCATTTAGCGCACAAACAATAGAGGAGAGGATGAACACCCTCAATGCCGTTGCAGAAACAAGAAAAAGATGGTGTGAAACCCTAGAGAGTGTAGACATGTGACACGACAGTAGAAAAGCATGGGGATTACTTAGATGCTTAGGAAATATCCCATGTAGACAACCGATACTTAATAAAGTAACACCAAACCAAATCGCACGTATATTGCTCCTAAATGGCAAACATCCAAAGACATTTAAAATTCAGAAAAAGAGAATAGTACGTGAACCATGTAAAGAAACAGACTACCTATAAAAACAGTTTACCTCGCTTGAACTACAAAAGGCTATAGATGCAATGAAATACTACAAGGCTGCCGGACTAGATGATATATGTACAGAACAACTCCGACACCTAGGACCAAGGGCTAAAAAATGGATAATAGACCTATTTAAGTACATAAATATTGTACAAGAAATCCCAAAGATATAGAGAAAATTAAAAATAATAGCCCGACTGAAACCTTGTAAGGAGGAAACGGACTCAAAGAATTACCGACCGATCTTACTACTGTGCCACACCTATAAAATATATGAAAGAATGCTGCTCAACCGACTCATGCCAGTAGTAGACAAAAAACTAATCATAGAACAATCTGGCTTCAGACCAAGAAAATCCTGTACCAACCAAATACTGAACCTAACCCAAAATATAGAAAATGGTTTAGAAAATAAATAAATTAGGGGAGTGGCATTCATAGACCTGTCGGCAGCATGTGACACTGTAAACCATAGCATTATGTTAACTAAACTATATAAAATGACACATGACTATAATTTCGTAAAAATAATTGAAGCCCTACTTAGTAACCGTCGGTTCTTTGTTACCCTAGACGGAAAAAATAGTCTGTGGAGAAACTCAAAAAATGGTCTCCCACATGGAAGTGTACTCACACCGACACTCTTCAATATATATACAAACCAATTTAAAACTATACAAATATCAAACACTATATATACGCATATGACATGGCAATTGCAGTACAAGACAATACCTTCGAGACCATTGAGAGGAAACTATCAGACACACTTGCCAAAATGGACGAATATTTTTAAGCAAACTCTTTACGTCCCAGTCCATTTAAAACAGAAGTCTGTGCATTTCACCTCAGAAACAAGGAAGCTAACCGAAAACTTTGCCTAACCTAGAAAGGCTAGTCAACAACCGTAATCCTAAATATCTAGGCGTAGTGCTAGACATGTCACTAACATACATAGTACAAATGAAAATCAATACGAGGAATGTGTTATTGCATAAGCTGGTCGGTTATGCGTGGGGTGCCGAACCACATGCATTGAGAGTTACAGCTTTACCAATTTGTTTCTCAACCAGCGATTTTGCAAGTCCAATGTGGGGAAGGTCTGGACAACCAAAAAAAAATAGACACAACTCTGAATGAAACATGCCGGCTAATCACAGGATGCTTCAAATATACACCAGTAAATAAGCTGTATACTCTATCTGGTATAGCTCCACCAGAAATTTTACGATCAGTACAAGCCGACTGGGTGCGAACAAAAGTGATGGATGATGATCAACACATAATGCATGGACTGCAAGAAGGCATATACCGACTTAAATCTAGAAATAATTTTATGATAAGGACAAGGTGCATCACGAGAAACCCCAAAGATGAGAGAGTCGAGAGATGGAGGGAAGAAATGAGTGACATAGCAGCATGGATAATGCCAACAGAAAACCTTGCACCCGGATACAAAAATAGTTGGATAATACGGAGAAGCCTAATCCAACTACGAACAAAGGTCGGACGCTGTAAAGCCAATCTGAAAAAATGGGGTTATCTAGAAGACTCATCGGCGTTATATGAGTGCAGCGAGGAACAGACAATGGACCACCTATTAGAATGCTGTGAATACCCAATTACCTGCAGTGGCAAACCAGAAGGCAATAGACATGAACAAATACTGGTCAAACGATATATGACAAAATTTTGATAGCGGAGACAAAAATGACCAAGAAGTTACCAATAAACGGTCTATTTATAACACAATAGTCTGTACATACCTATAATAATATTATAGTTTTATTTGTTATATTTTACCTAATTTTTTAATTTTTACAGTAAGTTTTATTCTATGTTAATCTATTGTATTCTAGTGTACTGCAGCGTAACACGATATAAATAAATAAGCAACTGAATCCAAGATATATATTTAATATATGATTTGAAAAAAAATATATCAACAACAAAATTTGAATATAACAATCAGTTGTGTAAGATAGATGGTTTCATAATTTATATTCTGAGTTAGTAAAAGTATTGATTTTATAATGTAGTTTATTTATTTATTTTTTGTGTTTGACATCACCTTTCGGAGCAATAAATATGTTTAGTTTCTTACCTTCAATATCTATCCTGGTAAGAAAGTGAATTTAGTTTGTATTTTACAGGGTTCAAAAATAAAAATAACGATTAGTAATTATCTAAATAATTACAGAAAAAGGAATTTTAACGGAAAATAAGTTTTTATTACTTAGTTAAAAAGCTACGGATAAATTATAGATACTTGATAATTTGACAAAATGTTTATTTTAGCATTTTGTAATTTGTAATTATATGGTAAAATTAAAGAAATGTTTTTCTTTACTTAACCTTTTTACAGATATTTGAAATTTTCGATAAAACGTTGTTTGGCTTGGTCATAAAACTTGAAAATTTAAAACACGTTTCCTCATAAATTGTTATTTTCATAAGCATTTTGAATTAAAATTTGGACAGAAATTGCCAAAATAATAAAAATATCCAAATAACTTCATAGTTTAAAATTGATAAAATATTTTTATAGGTAAGACTTTAAAATGTAATATAAGATTACTCTTAAGCAATTTGGCCAAAAATAAGATACTCAACCAAGAATAACGATTTTATTTACAGATCAGAGAACAATGGATGGTATTGGTATGGCAAACATATAAATAGAAACAAATCAATATGAATTATCTCAGAGTGCAGTTCGCAGATTATAAAAATGCAACCTTTTAAGTATAATGTTACATCCGGTCACAAACTAATTGTTTAGTAGAATATCAATCGGAGAACAATGGATGGTATTGGTATAGCGAACATAGAAATAGAAACAAATCAATATGAGTTATCTCAGAGTGCAGTTCGCAGATTATAAAGGTGCAACCTTTTAACTTTAATGTTACATCCGGTCACAAACTAATTGTTTAGTAGAGTATCAATCAGAGAACAATGGATGGTATTGGTATAGCGAACATAGAAATAGAAACAAATCAATATGAGTTATCTCAGAGTGCAGTTCGCAGATTATAAACGTGCAACCTTTTAACTATAATGTTACATCCGGTCACAAACTAATTGTTTAGTAGAGTATCAATCAGAGAACAATGGATGGTATTGGTATGGCAAACATAGAAATAGAAACAAATCAATATGAGTTATCTCAGAGTGCAATTCGCAGATTATAAACGTGCAACCTTTTAACTTTAATGTTACATCCTGTCACAAACTAATTGTTTAGTAGAGTATCAATCAGAGAACAATGGATGGTATTGTTATAGCGAACATAGAAATAGAAACAAATCAATATGAGTTATCTCAGAGTGCAGTTCGCAGATTATAAACGTGCAACCTTTTAACTATAATGTTACATCCGGTCACAAACTAATTGTTTAGTAGAATATCAATCAGAGAACAATGGATGGTATTGGTATAGCGAATATAGAAATAGAAACAAATCAATATGAGTTATCTCAGAGTGCAGTTCGCAGATTATAAAGGTGCAACCTTTTAACTTTAATGTTACATCCGGTCACAAACTAATTGTTTAGTAGAGTATCAATCAGAGAACAATGGATGGTATTGGTATAGCGAACATAGAAATAGAAACAAATCAATATGAGTTATCTCAGAGTGCAGTTCGCAGATTATAAACATGCAACCTTTTAACTATAATGTTACATCCGGTCACAAACTAATTGTTTAGTAGAGAATCAATCAGAGAACAATGGATGGTATTGGTATAGCGAACATAGAAATAGAAACAAATCAATATGAGTTATCTCAGAGTGCAGTTCGCAGATTATAAACATGCAACCTTTTAATTATAATGCTACATCCGGTCACAAACTAATTGCTTAGTAGAATATCAATCAGAGGACAATGGGTGGTTATTGGTATAGGGAACATATAAATATAAATTTTATTTTAAACTATTGCCTATTTATACATGCATAGTGCAGGCTAATAGGCCTAGTAACTACTAGAGCTAATAGTACACAACATTTGCCGCATAGACCATTGACATACACGGGCAGCATAGCGGTGTGCTCCAACATGAGTAGATAACTGTTGGCAGTATTGAGTATTAATGATTCATCATTGATTCAAAACTGTACAGTGTACACTTACATTACATTAAATCAACAATGAGGTACACCTACTGTACTGCAAATCGGTTAGGTTACCTACCTCCCCTATCAACATTTTTGAAAATATAATACCGAATTTGCTATCTCATCATACAGTATACAGTAGCAGCAATAGTTTATTTTATTATACTTTTAAATTTTTAAAATATCATTCTTTTTTTTTTCTTTATTATCCAATCATCAAAATAATTGTTTTTAAAGCTATTCAATTTTAAAATATTAAATATAAGTACAAAAATATATGTTAACTAAATTAATTGGTTAATACCTATCAGAATGTATAATAATATAATATAAGGACTAGGTAAGACCTAGTTATTTTTAAAATAAATAAACTATTTTAAGGCTGAAATTAGAATACTGCAAAAAATACTAAAAACCTAACAAAATGTAAGTAGGTATTTATTTAATGAAACTAAATATTTATTTACCTCATCAGCAAATAATTTAATATCATCTTCTCCAATTGTCAAGTTAATAGAATCTTCATTATTGTCATCTTTATTATGTTCTTGAGTAGATTTTTCCTGAATTGAGTAAAAATGTAATGGTTATAAAACAATTATATTTAAAAATATTTAATATAAACTTACTGTATTATTAGTTTGATTAAAATTGTCTGTACTGTAATTTTTTTCTTCTTCATCAGCTTCATGATCCAATTCTTCATCGATTTCATGATCCAATTCTTCATCTTGTATATTATCTTCGTCTTCATTGGTTTCTGGTATAATTTCTTTTACTCCAATGACATTATTTTTATATTTTTGTTCTTCTATATCATTGTTAATTTTAGAACTATTTTCTATGACTTCTGCATCAGTACCTAAATTATCCAAACATTTAGTTTGTTTTATTTCATTACCTTTTACGTCATCTATAAAATTGTTTGTATCCTTAGGATTGATTTGTGCAACATCTTTTTCACCTTCAAATTCTTTTGTATTTTCATGAGTACTAGTTGAGTCAGAATCTATAGCAATTACAGTTTGATTTTCATGAGATGAAATTGCATTTATTACTCCTGCTTCATTTAGTTGTGCTTCATCGGCATCAATTTCCTTAGCTTCTGCTTCATTTGAATCAATTACATCAGAATTAATTGTATTTAATAAAACTGTTTTTGAATCCTCAGAACTAGCAATGACATTGCTACTATCTACTTGTTCTTGATTTACATCATCATTTTCTTTTTGTGAAATACTTGAAGTAATTTTTTCAACTTTTAATTGTGCCACACACGTTTCTAAACAAAACAATTTGAATTTTATAAATAACAGTGTCCTAGCTGATTCGCACGTATATGGGGAAACACAAAATAGCTTGTATTTAGTAGCAGAAATACCATGATCAGAATAGAATTTGGGCCAGCTAGAACATTACCTAATAATGAACTGTACAAGTACCTACTTAAATATAAAATAAATTTTCGTAATTTTAAGGAAAAAGTATTTCACTCAAAGCTGACAAATTATAATTGCAATTAAAGTACAACTACTGCCTTTGTAAAGTATAAAACTTAATACTGATTAGTCTTTATGTTATCAAAAGTATGAAGATTGTATAAAATATTGTGTTTGGGCGGCACTTATGGATGTTTTTTATGAACATTTTCATAGTAATAGATGTGAGAGAAAGTAATTTTCAGATGATGAAGTTGTAAGCTTATAAATTAAAAATGCATCATAATCGTATGTTCATGTTTTTTTTTTATAAGCATATAAACATTTGTTATAGATATCAGTCATGCTATTATACCTAAAGTACTTACTACTTAATAATTTAATATATTAATTCATGTTTTATAATTTCAAAAACTTACTAGACTTTGGTCCAGGTCTTCTGCCAATAACATTTTTTTTTATTGTTTTTGTAGGAGTAACTGGTTTTTTTTTTTCAACACTAGGAGACTTTTTTTCTGGTATTAGTGACTTTTCAGTGTTTGCATTTTTAAATTCAAATTTATCAAAAACACAATTTTCTGGATCTTCTCCTTCTTCAAGAAGCGCCTGAAATAAGATTAATATAACATACACATTGGTATTACATTAAATCACGATATATTAATAAAACTAAGGCAAATTAAAATTAAAGATAAACATGCAAAAAAGAACTCAACTTAAAATATTTTTATTATAAATGTATCCGAGGAGTAAACCATACATTTAATTGTTGCTTGTTTTTTTTATAATTTTATTCTGTTGATTTATATTTTTAAGTTTGTTGATTTATGTATAGGTAAACACAAAAAATTAAAGTTTGACAGTCTGGATGACTGGATGTGCTTTATGCATTCCTAAAACGGCTGGACCGATTTTGATGAAATATTTTGTGTGATTGAGTAGTTTCGGAGATGATTTAGATTCACAATGGACCTCGATAGGTTCAACCCGGGGATGTGCTCAAACAGATTTTAAGATTTACAATGGACAATTTTGTTATAAATGGTTGTTAGTGGTTTTAATAATAATAATTAGGTAGGTACCTACCTATTTAGCAACTATTTAGATTTTGTGATATTTATGCATTGTGACCTTTTTTTTTTAAAAAAGTGTTTTTGACTACCTATTGTATAATTTTAAAAGTAAATATAGTAAATAGACAGATACACGGACCCGCGACATTCATCATTTCATAACTATTATTTAGTTCTAATTTAAAATATTTGATCTGCTTTTTAAATTTTGGATATTAGGTATGGGTGCACTCACAGGGGAGGTGTCAAGAGGTTTAAATCCCCCACCACTGACTATAATTTTACTCATCAGTTTTTTTTGTGTGCCAATAGCCCCTTTACAAATGTTCCTAGAAATCATCCACAACCCCCCCCCCACTTTTAAAATTCCTAAGAAGGGTACTGATATTAGGTAATGAACATTTAATGGTTATTGCATAATTTGATTTAATTCAAAATGTATTGTATATTGAAATTACAATTTAATTGTTATTGAGATGATCACTGTAGGTAGTATTGACTTGAATTTGAATTTAACAATAAATTAATGTATTGGATGAAAATTAATTTCTAGCAGAGACGTTTTAGATAAATAGTAATAGTTGAATATTTTTATACCAAATTATTTTTAGAAATTCATGAGGTATACTTATATTCCTCAAGTAGGTAATGCAATATGACTAGGACGGATTATGATGAATTTAGGCATTATATCACCCAGTTATTAAAATTATTACCCACCAGACATCTAAAATATTTTGACAATATTGACAAATGAGCAACCTAGTATACTAGTTAAAATATCCGCAGTTGTGGGCTAAGATTGTTAAAAGTCAGTGACAGAATTTATTAGTTCCACAAATTATTGTATTGATATTGTATACAATATATGTATTTGATACATATACATGTAGATAGGAAGAATTTGTACTTAGCTAATAAAAAAGGTTAAATTTACATCATATTAAAATTAACAATGCAAATTGTATAAATACATACACATTTCAGCAATTTAATATAGCTTAGGCTGTTTGAGTTAAAACCTAAGACAGCATTTTTTTTAATTTAGTGTTTGGTAAGTGGTAACTTAACAGTTAACTTCATACTTAATAATTATGTAATTTTGTTAGGCTCTTTTCCCATTACCTAATTTTGGGAACAACGTGGACTATGGAGGCTACAATTGAAATCTAGTTTTTTATTGATATCAAAATGGGTTTATGATCATAATTAAAATACATTCACCTTTAATACAGGCCACAATAATTGCCAATTGGTTCTAAAAGGTATACAACCTACCAATAGCATAAGGTTTAATTTAATGTAGGAGAAGTAATTCTAACGCGGTTCCTACTCGATTAACTCGGAAAAAAAAAGGTTTAATTTAATGCATTGGCAAATGTCGATTATGAATGATGTAACACAAAATAAGTAGAAATAGATAACTTTACATTTTGACAGTAGTAAGTGCCTATACTTTATTACATATACCTAATATGGACAAATATTATAATTTATTGTTTGCTATTTAAATTTTACAAGTAATAATACCTATTATAAAAGCAAAACCATCAAAAGCTGAAAGCAGGATTACACAGTTACATACGGTTACGTAGTACTTAAAAAAAACTATAAACAATGTTTATATCATGAAAAATCCAATATCAAAAAGCGCTATACATTGTGTTGAAAATAATCAAACCATGTACCGTTGTTTTTTTTATTTTAGCAATAGGTATAACCATTTTTTATACACTTACCTTTTGCAAACGCTCTACAAGTATCGCTTTTACTCCTGTTTTATCCAAATCACGTTTTTCTAACTCCGAACGTAATTCAGTCACCTTCAAATCACAAGCTTTTCGCGGTTCCAACTTTTCCGACATTTTAATTGAACGTAAACTCTACTCAGTATTTAAGTATATAGTATTTACGCAAAAGAGTATAGCAAATCTATTGCGTAATGTCTTTAGTACACTATTTAATATTTTACTTATCGAAACTTCCACCGCGACAGTAAAGATGAAAATGAAACCCAAAATATGAGGTTATACGAAAAGTTATTATTGAGCGTCTAAATAATGAGTATCAACTAGTAACTACCTATGGGCATTGGTCGATGACCATAAAATATAAATTGAGTTGAGTAGTAGACGAATGTTAAGCCTCACAAGTCATAACAATTGAGTCGCAAATTGCAATTCACAAATAAGATGTTTTGGTTGGTTTTCGTATTAATCAGTGTGACCACAATGTAAGCGTGAAACTTTAATAGACATAATATTGAAATCCAAAATATCTTCATGACGCCTATGACGTTACAATAATTTAGGGCCGATTTCACCAACACAGTTAATCCCGGTTTTTAACAGAATAATATATTTAACCGGCCAAATAAAACTCCGGTTAACTTTAACCGTGATTTGGTGAAATCGGCCCTTAATAATTTTCCAAAATGGGTCACTTCCATAGATAAAGATATTTATATGATCAGCAATATTGCAGGCTGCTATCATGATCGTTCCCTAAAAAGTTTGGGAACCTTTGACGGATCATTACTTTTTGTTCGAAAAGTATATTATTTAGTTCTAAAGATTTTTCTTTCTCTAGAAAGAAGTTCTTGTATAGTTGTATATTATGATCTAGTACTATTGTTCTATGGTAGCAGTGGCGTATTTACGGCGGAGGGGAGGGGAGGGGAGTCTTATTCCAAGAAATATTTTTTCCAACGACCATATTTTGTTCCATTGTCATTTGTCTGTTTATGCTACTAGCCATTGTAGCCAATACAATACAATATTTTATTTGTTCTAGGACACATTTGTCATTTTTTCAAACTATATTTATTCCAAATTTAATTTGTACTGATACATTTTTATTATGCATTATATTTTCCAAGTCTGAAATAAAATATATTTATTGGATCGACTGTTATTTGAAATAAACATTATTTGTTTAGAATATTCAATTAAAGGAATACAAATATCTTAGAATTTAGAATTAGAATAACGAGTTACCGATATTAGCCTGGAATTAGGAAGTCTCTTTACATAACAAACCCTTCCAACTTGGTTTACTTTGGCATAATGATATGATGTATAGAATATATTATATTTCCAAATTTCCAATTTCATATTTCACTTTAAATTTTAATAAATTGTACATTTTTGAACGGGCTTAATTATTTTTGTATGAAGCCAATGATGAAATAAAGTTTATATACTCATATAGGTTTTATATATATGGATGTAGACTACGCGAAAAGTCTATGTCAATACTGGTAACAATGAGGCATTTTTACACAAATATTCTTTAGTATATAGATAAGTTTATATCATTATTTGTACATTCAGCGCCAGTTAATGTAGTTACATGGAAATATTTTAATACCTACATTAGGTTCTGTTATTTTTATTTACATTCAAAAAAATTAAATTTTATGATTATGTAATAGTTAATTACATTAAATTGATAATCACAGATAGCAGCTGATGTGAGCGTTATATTTTAAATTCCCTTCTCCTTCACAATGCATTTAAATAATTTAATAAAATACAATGGAAAAGGGATAATTACGCAACTATATAATATTTATCTATTGAATAAAATTTTTTTTTTTCCAAACAAATTTTCCAAAGTTTTTTTAGCAAATTTATTTGATAATAATTAGTAGATATTAAAGAAAAACAACTCAATATAAATTTGGAGGGGGGGCTTGTATTTCGTGCAAACCATGAACTAAGATAATATGGACTGGTAACGGTTGGGCTGGCGGATGGTAGGGGTGCGTTCAGAAACGTTATCCACTATCGTCAGTCAATTCCCACCGTCGTTCAGAAAGTATTTAGGGCGTATCGGTGAATTCACCGACACGCCCCTTTTGCGTTCAAAAACGTAGATAACTAACTAGATAGTCAATCTCCTCTAACGGACTATTTAGACCGTCACAACAAAATTGGTTATAACGGTTACTGGTTAGTGGTTAGTACCAATATTTTTTTCGCGCCATAATAATGACAATGTATAAAATATGAAATAACTATAAAATTAAAAATATAATATAATTATTATTTATTAATTAACGAACAAAGAACAAGAGTGAAAAAGTGCAAGAACGCGACAAGTGACAAATGTCAATTTGTGACTAGTTTTTGTTGTCTCGTGTAATACGTGTTGATGGTCCATCATTCATGACAAACCAATCTATTTGTAATTTAAGAATTTAAACTACATATTCATTTAAATAATGTTTCCTCAAGTCACAGTTGGAAGTGTGTAAAAAAATATAACTAATTTTGATATATCTAACTAGTAAGAACTTTTAATTTTGTTTTTATTCCAGGAAAAATGTCCCATTTGCAATAGTTACGTTATATTAACAAAAATGTCTGAACATCTCAAAAATCATAGGTAAGTTAAAAAGAAAAGATACTAAGTAATTGTCTTGTAATATGTTAGCACTTAGCATATTTCTATCTTAACAAATCTATTAAATAATGAATATTAATTTAATAGACACTATTGTGCCCATATGCATATAGTCAATGTATTTGTCACACAAGACGTAGTTTACCATATTTTATGTAACACATACTTGACTATGCATGCGAGCATTACTACTATAATTAATTTTTGTTTCATAAACATTAATGCCCCTTTCTTTTAATTAATATTTAGTGCTGGCTATGCTAATTCTTATTTAAACTTTCAAGTAACGATCAAATATTTTGACTGTTGTCTGACATGACACACCATATTAAAACTAAAAGACTGCAACTAAATACTAGGCTACGCATGCTTAAAACATTCCAATTAACAACAAACACACCAACTTAAACATTAAACTTCTCATGTACAAATCCTTACTAAAACTTAAATGAACCCATGGTCTTCAACTGCGGGTCAATGCCAAAATATCCAATCTTAAAACAATATAGCTGTTTCAAAATATTACTCTAAGAAAAATTACTAACTCTCCTCGATACATATTAAATTACACACTTCACACCGATCCATACCAAAAAACTGTCCAAGAAGAAGCTAAATTCTTCTACAAACGTTTTCACGATCCTCTTATTGGTCATACAAATCCATTAATCCATAACTTATCACCAAATAAAATTCCTGGTAAGTGGTAATCCTCGACGTCGCCTTAAAAAGAAATTGTGCAGAAACCTCTTAATAAATTAAAAGGATTAGTCTAATAATCTAATAAAAATCTACAGTAAGTGACACTACTGGGTGGCTTCTTTTAACAAGCGTATCAATACCACTGTAAATTAGCACATATTCTTATTGTGCCCTCCGGGTATAGACTGTATATTTCTTTTAAAAATTAAATTTAAAAAAAACTTTCAAGTTAACTAATAATTAAGCCTTGTTATTTTTACTTTCTAGTTATTATTCGCTTTAATAGTATAATTAATATAACTCATATAATTTTACTCATTAATTCATATTTCATATATTATACTTTCTTTCTTTTATAGTCAAGACCATGAACTAGCAGTGCCTCAAAAGTTAAAAAAGTATAAACCATCAACATCATTTGGTAATTTATCTACTGAAACAAGGTAAATAAGTTCATAGTCAATATTATTATTCAATTTTTGCAAATATAATGAATGCTTTTATATTGTTATAGTTATAATAAATAGCTAGGAGAGCTTGTGATATTAATTCAATTTATATAACTTTTATTATACTTTCTTGGCCATTATCCCCTGTCCGTTAATAAATAAATATACTTTTTTTTAGTCAAGACCAGGAACTAGTGCCTCAACAGTTAAAGCATTCTAAAGCTAAACGAACAACATTGTTTAGTAATTTATCTGCTGAAACAAGGTAAATAAGTTGATAATTGATATTATTATTCAATTTTTATAAACATATTGAATACTTTCATATTGTTTAAGCTATGATATACCTAATGAGCTAAGAGTACTTGTGAATTTGATTCAATTTATACTTTCTATTTTCTTGGCACTTCACTCTTTAATAAATACATTTTGTTTGTAGTCAAGATTATGAACTTGTGCCTCGGCCACAACAGTTAAAAAAGTATAAGCCAAACCCATTGTTTGATAGTTTGTCTGATGAAACAAGGTAAATAAGTTGATAGTTGATATTATTATTCAATTTTTATAAACATATTGAATACTTTCATATTGTTTAAGCTATGATATACCTAATGAGCTAAGAGTACTTGTGAATTTGATTCAATTTATACTTTCTATTTTCTTGGCACTTCACTCTTTAATAAATACATTTTGTTTGTAGTCAAGATTATGAACTTGTGCCTCGGCCACAACAGTTAAAAAAGTATAAGCCAAACCCATTGTTTGATAGTTTGTCTGATGAAACAAGGTAAATAAGTTGATAGTTGATATTATTATTCAATTTTTATAAACATATTGAATACTTTCATATTGTTTAAGCTATGATATACCTAATGAGCTAAGAGTACTTGTGAATTTGATTCAATTTATACTTTCTATTTTCTTGGCACTTCACTCTTTAATAAATACATTTTGTTTGTAGTCAAGATTATGAACTAGCAGTGCCTCAAAAGTTAAAAAAGTATAAACCAACAACGTCATTTGGTAATTTATCTACTGAAACAAGGTAAATAAGTTCATAGTCAATATTATTATTCAATTTTTGTAAATATTCAAAATACATAAATTCATCAATACTCTCGTATTGTTTAAGCTATAACAAATAGCTGGGAGGGCTTGTGAAATTAATTCAATTTATATAACTTTTATTATACTTTCTTGGACCTTCTCCCTTGCCCATTAATAAATAAATACATTTTTTTTTAGTCAAGACCAAGAACTATTGCCTCAACAGTTGGAACATTCTAAAGCTAAACCAACAACATTGTTTAATAACTTATCAGATGAAACAAGGTAAATAAGTTCATAATTGAAGAATTTATAATATTATTATTCAATTTTTGTTAACATTGAATACTCGTTTGATTTTATAATTAATAATTGGTAGTATATTTATTATTTGAAGTTTACAATTTTTTTATTGTGTAGTACAAATGAAAAAAGAGTCAAAAATTGGACCAAGTCTGAAACACTTTTCCTTATTGAGGCGTATGAGAATAATATTTTGATATTCGAATCAAACTCAAAAAAAAATCGTTTAGGTTGGATTCAAGTTTCAAAAGATCTAAAGAAGTACATTTTTCAGATATTTGTTTAACATTTTGTATATGTATATTGATAAAATAAATAATTTTTATACATTTAGAAAGCAGATTGAATATACTGAAGATCAATGCCAAGGAAAATTCAAGTATTTACTATTGTGCTACAAAAAAAAATTAGACAATAGACATGAGACAGGAAGTGCTGTATATGAGTTTGAATTTTTTAATGAACTTGATGAGTTATTTGGTAGAAAACCCAACATAAGACCAAAGCATTTGGCATCATCTAGTCGCATTTATAATGGTTAGTAATATATCTTCAATATAATATGTATCACCAATACAAATGTTATGAAATACATTTATTATTTACAGGCATCAAAGAAAACTGTGGTATCTTTGACGAAGATAATGTGTCTTCACCCAAACATGTTTCAAATATCACTCCTCCAGAACTAAAAAAACAAAAAAAAAATACAAGTGTCCACGAAGCATCAATACAAAAAAGACATGATGAAAAGATGGCCATGTCTCAACTTGCACTTGATACGTATAAAACATATATGGATAAACTATTGGAAAAATTGTGATCCAAGAAAAATTGTTTTTTAATGTTTTACTACAGAGGATAGAACTCAATCGAAGCAGATTGAATGTACTATGTCTGTATTTTATTTTATTTGTTAATATTTTTAAGATTTATGAATTTAATTATTACTAAAATAATATTGTTACACTGTGATATTGCTTAATTTGTACAATGTTTTTATTAATAAAATTAAAAAAAAATATTTACCTTTAAATTTAATATATAATACATATTAACCAAATACAATTTAACATAATATATACTACAGAAATCAGCTCCAGTATTAAGCATTGTAAAGTTCACACATTGTATCTCTTTTTAATTTTCCATCTGTGCGGCAGTGATCTTCTGATGATTCTCTTGCAGGATTTAAACATTCAGTTCTTTGGTCTCTCAAAAAATTCATCCCTTCTTCAATATAGTCATTTACATTAACATTTGACTTGTTTTTTAAACACAAATTATGTAATATACATGCTGCCAGAACCGTGGATGGGATGAAATCAGTCCTTGACATATCTAGGTATTTAAACCGTCTAAATCTACCAAAAAATAAAGCAAACGACCGTTCTACAGTTTGTCTAGTTCTAGAAATGTTGAAGTTGAAGTTTTTTTGAGCTTCAGTCAGACGACCCCTGTTAATGTATGGTTCAACACACCATGTAAGAGGAGGATATGCTTTATCGCCTAAGATATGCTCGTCATTTGGAAAATAAAATTTTTCATTTTTCATAATATTCACATATATGTCTGAATTTCGAAATATACGAGTGTCGCTCACAGAACCCGGATAGCCAACAAAAACATCGGTAAATTTTAGTTCGGCATTTGTAATTGCTTGCAAGGTAATTGCATAATTGCATTTTCGTGTTACATACACTTCTGGGTCTTCTTTTGGCGCCTTTATGGGAATCAAAGTACCATCTACAGCTCCAATGACATTTGGGATACTTGCCATACGAAAAAACAATTCTTTTTGCCGTTCCAACTCTTCTCCGTGAGGCCAAATTATAACATTGGAAGCATTCATTATTATTAAATTAATAATTCTGAAAAATGATACTGACAGTGATGATTTGCCCATATCAAACTTTTCTCCGACTGATCTAAATATTAAACATAAACGATATAAAGTGTAAAGATCTGATTTTAATGAGATTTTACATAATATATGTAATAATGTACTTAAAAATCAAAAAAAAATTATTTAACTCTAACCACAATGTATACAATGTTTGTCAGTTTGTTTAGTGTATGCGTTGGGTTGTATATTTTGCTATTGTACAATCAATATTAAATTAATATATTATATTATTATAGTAATAGTGTGGGGTTATACACTTGAACCACTTATGGTAGCGCGTATAACTTTAATCAGAATCCTGAATCATATTGAAATAATACTATAATGGACGCAATTACACCAATAATTATTATATAGTTAGTGTTGTATTATTTAATTCTAATTTTATATTAAATTAAATTGTAAAACTATAGAATTATTAGCCAATAACATAGTAGTAGGTAATTAAATCTCTAAAATTATAAATTATAGTCAGTAGATATCTTTAAAACATTATACATAGCCTCTAGGTTAGGTTAGGTTAATAAATAATACTTCTTGCATGTTTTAATATTTATTAAGTAATTAGTATAATTATTTCACAGGGTGGATCCAGGAATTTTTTTGTGGTTGGCGCACATTTATTGACATTTAATTATTTTGGTCTTCTGATTTTTTTGTCTAACTTTCATTCAAGATAAAATTGTATTCATGTAAAATTAAAAGTAGATTCGATATATTAAGTTTAGGATTCAAATTATATTTAGCTATGTAGTTAAGATAATCATAGGTAAGAACTTATATAAAAATAATGAATCAAAATTAATATAGCCAATATAGGTATGAATATGCTCAAATAAATACTTTAGTGAAAAAATAACTAGTTTAAGTATTAATATATTAAAAAGTTAAGTTACTTCACACCTCGCTTCACACTTACTAGTTACCATAAATGTATTACCATTTACCAATATATCATTTTTAATAAGTTTAACTGTACTACATGTGTATTTTATGAGAAATTGTTTAATGGTTTGTACTAACTTACAAACAAATAAAATTACACATAGTTAAATGTAAAATTGTATTTCATAAAATCCAAAAAATAAAACAAAACAGAAAATAAAATAGTTAATAGGCAGGTACCTACTATTAATATAAATATATTTTAAATAATGTCCTATGGTTTTTTATAAATGCTATGCTTTTCATTATCATCTATGAATCTATGAAACTTTAAAGTAAGTATTATTGTATTAACTATTTACCTATACGAATCTGGAGTGGCAAGTATCCAAAGGACTGACAATAACTGTTTTTCAATGGGAATTTCTGGTCTTCCTGTTTTTTTTGCTCTATCGGTTGTGTTGTTTTGACTTATTTCTATCATGGGTATTAGAGTATTATAAAACACCGATCTGGATAATCTAAAATGTGTATAAAGAAATATATATTTATCTCATTTTTGCAATTTACCAGAATGAATAATATTATATAGGTACATTTAAAATAAACCTTTTATTTACCTAAAATGGCTTTGAAATACATTATCTGAATAATGAACAACAACATTTTCTATGTAGTTTTTGATCCTGATTGGAACCTCTTTCTCACAGGTTAAATCCTCGTCATTATCATTATCATCATCATCATTAAAAAAATATAGTCCACAGTCTAAAAGTAATTTAAACGAATTACTTGCCGCTATAGCTAGAACTCTGGGATGGTTACTCATAATAAAATAATTTCAATTACAAATAACAAATGTTTAAATGATGTACACCAAAAAAAATTAAAATTCATAAAAAATTAATAATTTTATTTTGGTACAAATCAAAATAAACCTATAAATAGTATACAATTTATAAATATTATGATTAATGATTATATTATCACTTTATCACTTTTATATTAAAAGTATTATAAACATGTTCTTCTACTATGAGGTTAACATACCTCGGTAACCTTATTGATAACTGAATGGTTCAATAAGATGGGAGGAGTCACATCGTTCCCCGGCGAAAAAGTTAATTCTACATAGAAAACGTTTCTGAACGCACTCTAGCGGTGCGGTCAAGTTTTAATACGTGGTTTTCTAAGAGGGGGAATTTATCGGATTGGGGCGATCCTTGTGTTGTTTTTTGTAACTATCGTAGTATCGTAGGTATAATATGTATATCGTGGATTCGTGGACCGTTGTTACTTGTTTTACAAAATATTTTTAAAATTTATAGTAATTATACTTTATAGTAAATATATATTTCATATATTTCATATTCTTTATATTACGTGTGTGAAGTTGGGTGACCAAAGCTAGGTGACTATTTTTTTCGGGCGGCTAGTGATAAGAAACCTTGCACGTTGTGTTGCATTCTTTAAATTTCAAGGGTGCTTTCTATTGCATCGAAACTATAAAGTAGATGTCGCCCTATGACATTTAATAACTATTTATTTTAAAAGTATATAAATAAATAATAAATTCTATTGGCGTCATTACCACGATAATTATACCGAAACCATAACTATACCGAATTATACAAATCAATATTAATTTAAAGTTAGGTTATAAATTGCCCTAATTTCGAAGACATGTTCTAACAAATGAACATTGTACTTTTGCAGTTTACATTAACTAATTAAAAGTGTAAACTGTTTAACGATGTCATTTGTTAGAGATCACATTCTACGGAAACAGGTAAGTTTACGTTATGTTAATTGTTTTTTATTTAAATTAATTATGTAATATTCCGTTTATCTATCCACATACTGAATGGTAGTGTCTATGCAAACGAAAAATAGGCAAAACTCTATGTATTTGATTTTTTTTTATTTTTCCGGCAGTGTTCCGGAAGGAGTCGAAGGACCTAACATAGATATTCGGAAAGCCAGGAAAATTTACTATCTGACGAGATAAATTTCAAGAGCTCCCTGACTTTTTAAGTAAACGTACTTAGTGCACGAAAGTGCCAGGTGACTAATGCCGGTATGACTTGAAACGTATACGTGCGCGTGGTTTTTGATTTTTCCGGCAGTGTTCCGGAAGGAGTCGAAGGACCTAACATAAATATTCGGAAAGCCAGGAAAATTTACTATCCGACGAGATAAATTTCAAGAGCTCCCTGACTTTTTAAGTAAACGTACTTAGTGCACGAAAGTGCCAGGTGACTAATGCCGGTATGACGTGAAACGTATACGCGCGCGTGGTTTTTGATTTTTCCGGCAGTGTTCCGGAAAGAGTCGAAGGACCTAACATAGATATTCGGAAAGCCGGGAAAATTTACTATCCGACGAGATAAATTTCAAGAGCTCCCGGGCTTTGGGGGTAACCGTACTTAGTGCACGAATGTGCCAGGTGACTAATGCCGGTATGACGTGAAACGTATACGCGCGCGTGGTTTTTGATTTTTCCGGCAGTGTTCCGGAAGGAGTCGAAGGACCTAACATAGATATTCGGAAAGCCAGGAAAATTTACTATCTGACGAGATAAATTTCAAGAGCTCCCTGACTTTTTAAGTAAACGTACTTAGTGCACGAAAGTGCCAGGTGACTAATGCCGGTATGACGTGAAACGTATACGCGCGCGTGGTTTTTGATTTTTCCGGCAGTGTTCCGGAAGGAGTCGAAGGACCTAACATAGATATTCGGAAAGCCAGGAAAATTTACTATCCGACGAGATAAATTTCAAGAGCTCCCTGACTTTTTAAGTAACCGTACTTAGTGCACGAAAGTGCCAGGTGACTAATGCCGGCATGACGTGAAACGTATACGCGCGTCTGGTGAACAATGCCGGTAGGGCGCGAAACGTATACGCGCGCGTGGTTTTCGATTTTTCCGGCAGTGTTCCGGAAGGAGTCGAAGGACCTAACATAGATATTCGGAAAGCCAGGAAAATTTACTATCTGACGAGATAAATTTCAAGAGCTCCCGGGCTTTGGGGGTAACCGTACTTAGTGCACGAATGTGCCAGGTGACTAATGCCGGTATGACGTGAAACGTATACGCGCGCGTGGTTTTTGATTTTTCCAGCAGTGTTCCGGAAGGAGTCGAAGGACCTAACATAGATATTCGGAAAGCCAGGAAAATTTACTATCTGACGAGATAAATTTCAAGAGCTCCCTGACTTTTTAAGTAAACGTACTTAGTGCACGAAAGTGCCAGGTGACTAATGCCGGTATGACGTGAAACGTATACGCGCGCGTGGTTTTTGATTTTTCCGGCAGTGTTCCGGAAGGAGTCGAAGGACCTAACATAGATATTCGGAAAGCCAGGAAAATTTACTATCTGACGAGATAAATTTCAAGAGCTCCCGGGCTTTGGGGGTAACCGTACTTAGTGCACGAATGTGCCAGGTGACTAATGCCGGTATGACGTGAAACGTATACGCGCGCGTGGTTTTTGATTCTTCCGGCAGTGTTCCGGAAGGAGTCGAAGGACCTAACATAGATATTCGGAAAGCCAGGAAAATTTACTATCTGACGAGATAAATTTCAAGAGCTCCCTGACTTTTTAAGTAAACGTACTTAGTGCACGAAAGTGCCAGGTGACTAATGCCGGTATGACGTGAAACGTATACGCGCGCGTGGTTTTTGATTTTTCCGGCAGTGTTCCGGAAGGAGTCGAAGGACCTAACATAGATATTCGGAAAGCCAGGAAAATTTACTATCCGACGAGATAAATTTCAAGAGCTCCCTGACTTTTTAAGTAACCGTACTTAGTGCACGAAAGTGCCAGGTGACTAATGCCGGCATGACGTGAAACGTATACGCGCGTCTGGTGAACAATGCCGGTAGGGCGCGAAACGTATACGCGCGCGTGGTTTTCGATTTTTCCGGCAGTGTTCCGGAAGGAGTCGAAGGACCTAACATAGATATTCGGAAAGCCAGGAAAATTTACTATCTGACGAGATAAATTTCAAGAGCTCCCTGACTTTTTAATAAAACGTACTTAGTGCACGAAAGTGCCAGGTGACTAATGCCGGTATGACGTGAAACGTATACGCGCGCGTGGTTTTTGATTTTTCCGGCAGTGTTCCGGAAGGAGTCGAAGGACCTAACATAGATATTCGGAAAGCCAGGAAAATTTACTATCCGACGAAATAAATTTCAAGAGCTCCCGGGCTTTGGGGGTAACCGTACTTAGTGCACGAATGTGCCAGGTGACTAATGCCGGTATGACGTGAAACGTATACGCGCGCGTGGTTTTTGATTTTTCCGGCAGTGTTCCGGAAGGAGTCGAAGGACCTAACATAGATATTCGGAAAGCCAGGAAAATTTACTATCCGACGAGATAAATTTCAAAAGCTCCCGGGCTTTAGGGGTAACCGTACTTAGTGCACGAAAGTGCCAGGTGACTATTTTGGTGAGTGCTTATATTTTGTATTTCTGTGTTGTACGTATTATTAGCCACCATAGCTGGCGGCTTCCAAAAATTATTAATGATGATTTCTATAGGTACATCACGATCTTAGACAATAGCTGTAAGACCGTGATGTATAGTGTAAATATAATACAGTATGAATTATATTTACACTGGATTAGATTTTGATTTAATTATTGTCTGTCTTATCTTTAGTGGTATTGGACTTTGCACTGTGCATTTTAAAATTAATACACCATAATGGTCACAAGAATGATTCTTGTGACAGTTAATTTTGCGAATGTGCACAATATTAATTTTTTTTTTTAATGGCACGACCCATCTTTGACCACAAACTAATTTTCTTTGTATTTTTTAATTAATTTTAGTGGTTGAATTTCTTTTCTAAGTTAATAAATGACGGAGTTATAGTAATCTGATTTTATGTTAACTTCGTATTTTATAATCTGTTTTACCCATGTATAAATAATTTGTGGTCAAAGATAGGTCTGTGCCATTTAATAAGTAAAAAAATATTGTGCATATTTGCAAAATTAACTGTCACAAGAATGATTCTTGTGACCATTATGGTCTAATTATTTTAAAATGTGGATAATACTGTTTACTAGTCAGCTAAAAAAGCAGAATCGAAATACATGAAGCCTGCACATAGTTATTGAATGTTTCCACTTATCGTGATCACACTGTACACGGTTTAATAAAATTGTTTGATTAAATGTAAATATCTAGATTTTTCACTATGGAAATTATGATGATGTTCCAGTAGAAAAAGTGTAATCAATACCATCATGTATTCCTAGACACAATTTAAAAATATTTTATTAAATATTTATTATAAATGGATCTCTATAAAAAATATTAAAAATCATATTGACTTACCAGGTAAATAAGTTAATGGTAGAGCTAAAATGTTTAGTGTACTTAGATTTCATTAATAAAAAAACCCTTCTTTGTCAATAATTGTGATTTGTTAAACGTATGTATTACTACTTTAACATAACTACAATTTTTTTTAACACATTTGGCGAGATATTTAATTTATATAAAACCTTATTCATAGTATATACACATCGATATCAAATTTATTTTTATTTTTGAACAGTTTATGTTTACGCATTTATAATAGTAAGTACTTATAATTACTTATATGTACCTACCTATATAACACAGTAAAAGTGAATAATTTAAACTACTAATGTTACGATTTTTGTGTTTAATAAGAAAGGTTATTACCTATTCAATAATATTTAATAATGCGCTTTTATACTTAAATAAAAGCTTATAAGTTATAATTTACTTCCACTTAATATACCTGATAGTTAAATTAACAGAATCAACACGCAAAATCTATGTGTATCT